AACCGTTGCGTTTGGATATCAAACGTTCCTAGTCGGCGATATTATTGAGAGAGAGAGAGAAAAGCTTGATGTGTGAATAAACACAGCAACAGAAGCCCTTCACGTATTTCTGACCGTCTATGAAATTGCATAATTTCATGAACAGCTACCCTGAAAATAGGTACAGGTGAGACTGTTCTCATGAGCCTCTCTGTCGCACTTCGACTCTCACAATCTCGGTGACTCTATCCTAATACCAGCAGTCGTTTCGGTTTGATAACGCGTTTTGGGTGTCCAAACTCTCGAACCTTTCCACACACTATTTTACCCTACATTACAGATAAATGCAATTTGGTCAGTGTGATATTTTTCTGCGTAGATAATTTCCGACATTTCTAATTATTTCTACAGAATCAGTCCTATCGTTTGTACAGATTTATCCATAGATTACGTTTTTTTGGAGGGAGGGGGCATGTGTTACGTATGTCACCAAATAACTTGCCACAGCGAGCAGTGTTTGCCAAGGCTGGTAGCGGTTGGAAAAGGATTAGGGGGGGGGGCAAACTAAGAACTGATATGAGGGTATGAAAACCCTGGTCGTTGTGGCCTGATACTGGAAAACACGGTTTACACTGTTAACACCGGTTTCCAGTTTACCGTTGACAGTTTTACCTAATAAGAATACACACACACACACACACTTCCGATACCGTTGCGAGCTTGGAACACCTGGGTTGCGAATAAGGCGTTATACTCTTTTTCCCTTGTGTCCATAAAACAAAGTTATATCTTTCATTCTATAATCCTTATTCATTTTCACTGTCTTTGATATTCCCTATTTTCGATACGAATTGATGTAGTAATCTGATGTACATACCACGTTCACCAGAACAAGTCGGTTATAAAAATTACTCCATAGAATTTCCTGTATGTTTTTCAACAAGATCCAGCTGTCCCTAATAACTTCGTTGGTTAACGCGTGAGTGGCGTTCACATCATTTCCTTTTTTGTCAGAAGCTCATTCACACATCCGCGATTCATGCATGTTGTTGCATTGTTTTACCGTAGGGTGACCGCTTATCCGACGTGTTCAACTACTGCGGTGTCGATGTTGTTCTGTGGTTTTTAGTTGGCGAAATAGAGGGCGGGGGGGGGGGGGGG